ATGACACAATTAATAAAGAAATGGCTAAAAACTTTGAGCCGCAGGTTATAACCTTCTAAAATAGGACAAAGGGAGCAGTGTATGTTGTGGACCAGATGAAATGTAATTGCTCCGTTTCTTAAATTAGTTGACGATGTTCTCTTATAGTCTTTTTTAATGATGAATATTACAGGAATACATGGTTAGGTAATTTATTATTCGATATGGGCAAGTTCCGAAGAGCGACATCTAGTGGCATAAATCAGCGAAGGTGTTAGCACCATTAATATGTTAGTCTTATATTAGCTGCAAATAAAGTAACTCAAACTTGTTTATTTAATACAATAATTATTGTAATACATATCAATAATTAACATTTTGAAAAAAAAAAGAATTGATTTGTAGCAGTAAAATTCCGTAACTATATTTTTTACGTTTAGATCTCATTATTTGATATTTAAGATTGAATTTATCAGGTTTCTAACAGGTAAACATTTTATGTACTAAATAAAATTATTAAATTGCAGTATTACTATTAATACGGATGCAATAATAAAAACTGGAACTCCAGAAAATAAACCATAAAATACTTTTTCAATCAACAATACCTATAACTATATCCTTAACATATCATATCAATAGTCTAGAACGACATTAACGCCCGATTTTATAATGACAACCTAAAGTATACTTTTAATGACGTTCATTTTAGACTAAATTGAACAAAATTGAACCAAGATGATTATTATTAAAATATACACCTTAAAGTGAACTTTATGTTATTAAAAATTACACTTAAAGTGAACTTTAATTTAATGTTCACATCAAACTTATTACAAAATCGGGCATAAGAATGCAAAATTTTGATTATGTTATTTACTTCTGCTTTATTATGATATGAATCCACTTTTCGCGTTACATTAATTTGCGCTTAGAAGTTGGAAACTAGAACTTGAATTTACTATTTTTGTTGTATTTTTACAATTTATAAGACAGCATTTGTGAAATCCCATTTTCTTCAATAATCACTTAAAAATATAGGTGCTAACATAGGTGCTCCAAGTACTTGCACACAGCGAATAGCAATACTAATACTAAATTAGAACGCCGTAAATATCTATGAGATAGTACAGATCTCATCAGGCCCCATCTAGTAAGTTGTGCATCAATAACACCATTGCCAATATTATTACGACTTCAAATAAGACGCAAAGCCTCCTAATGGAGAAATACTTCAGTACCAACTGCAGAAACTAAAGATAGAGACAAATGTTTTTACTGTCCCCGAAGTAAAAAACGAAAAACCACTTCAAGGTTTGCAGATTAATCAAAATCTATTTATGGTGAACATATAATTACAATATATCAAATATGCCACAATAAATGGTATGATAGTGAATAAAGTGTTTACATTTCTTCTATGTTATACAATTTTTTCTATATGTATTATTTCACTAATAAAAAGTACATATATTCATGTTATTTATCACTAGTAAATTTTTTAAGGAACCAGCAACCGATTGGCAAGTTGTGTTAACTATTATATAATATCCTAATGAAATTTATTTAAATGAGAAGAAAATGGTGCCTGAGCGCAGTGACCGTAGGCAAAAATTGCGTCATTTCCTGATACGCCGACAATGACAGGTTAACTTGAGATAAAAATATATACTCAAACAGTATATCTCTATACCATACAGATAAAACTGATATCGAATAGAGAAGATACCCTAGATATCTGGAATGAGCTAGATTTCTCCGCACAGGAAATGAGAGCCGTATGGCTTAAAGTAAGGGTATACATGGAGCGATACTACTTGAGATGTCCAGATTATAACTCCTCTTACCCTATGACGGCCGATATGTAATTAAGATATGATCAGTGGGCCTCAAACAGTGGGGCGTTAATATTTCATTCCGATCGCTTAAAAGTAAAAATATTTAATTTCCTGTATTTTGTGTTCAGTAATAATATTGTATTTTACTGTATCAAAGGCAAATAAAATGAATATAATATGTATATACAGGGCGTGTTAAAATAAGTGGGACGAAATATTTAGGAATACTCGAAATTGTTTGTCGACATCAAATGTTCATCAAGGTCCCTTTAAGTCTCTTTTTGGCCTAGGGTGAAACTTATACTAATGATTTTGCATGCAGTTAAATTGGAACATACTTGCCAAATTGCTGGTGGCCCAATTTGAATAAAATACATCCAAAACTTTACTTTCTGCAGACACTGCATTAGAAATAACCTTGAAATAAATTGACACTAAATCACTTTCGAGTTTTCAGCACAACAAAATGTTTAAACACGTGTAGTCCATTACTTAATACCTAATAATAATACTGGACAGTACACTATTGAGAGTATACTGTCCAGTAATTAGACTGAAGGTACTTTATAGTTTAATTAAACACACCACAAATTCTGAATTGAATTTTAGAAACACTTTTTTGTTATTTCTTTTTAGTAAACGATTTGTCTTATTCACTGTCTGGTATTTTACTATCAGAGTCGTCACTATCTGAATTGTCTATCCGAATAATTAGAGGCTCATCAATAACTCGCTCGGTTTGAAAAGACTGAACGAGTATGTCTTACGTATGTATGTCTAATACAATTTTGCCGTTGTTCTGTCTTTATTTGTTCTAGCTTCTAGATTCTTTCCATTAAACTAAGAACGCTAGCGTCATCTGTTGTTTTGGGTGCATGTTTATCATAAAATTTTTTGGCTATACTCCAAACTAACTCAATTGCGTTATAGTGGTAATGGTAGAGCAGATGTCGAAGAACTACATGGCCATAGTTAGAGCCATTTGATCAGTAACAAGTTTCTTTTGAATTTTGTGTTCTCCACACATTTGAAGTAAATCGACTTTTAAAAATATGTCACTGTGATAAATTTTCTTTTTTGTCAACCACAACTTTGCTTATTCTCTTGTCCAGCTGCTTGAAGGAAATCTCTCTTTTATTCTTGAGTAGCAGGATGCATTATTCAACACTATTATTTTTTTAACAAATTTTCTTCAAACCATTTTTCAAAATTATTTGCAGCCATATTTCCATGGTAATCATCTGAATTCTTTTGTGAACGAAAAAATTAAACTAGCGCCAGGAACATCGAGCAAAAAGACAAAAGAGGGAATCTAATCATTATGAAAAGGAGACCAAAAAAGTGGCCTCTGATGAAAATTTAAATTTTTCGACACTTATTAACAGTAGCTATAAAATAGTTTTCAGAATGTGTCTTAGACGAGAAACTAAATAAATATAAACGACAAAAGTCTAAAATGTGACATATTTGTTAATAAACTTCATTATAAATAAGATTTTATGTGACAGTTGTGACAAAAAATAACATAAGCCAACTAAATTTGATTTCTTAAACAAGGAAAGACTCTCTTTCCTTGCCTCTCAAGATGGCACTTCCTGTCTAACAATATTTTTACCCCCACTAACTTTACATTCCCTCTTTTGTCTTTATGCTCGATGGTCAGGAATTAAACCCTCATCATTTCCAGCATAAAGGATAATGTAGCATTTACCATTACCGGAACGACTGTGAAACGAACGACGAAATGTTAATGAAAACATTTCGTAGTGCCATCTTGCCAGAATGATTTTGACATATTTCTTTTAGCGAAAATCCAAGTTTCATCTAAAAATATAGCTGACCTCGGACTATTAGAGGTTTTATTGTTGATGTATTTTCTTAAAAAATGTCCCCGTTATGAAACAACATTAGAGAGATTACACAATACTTGTCTATTATTTGTCTTTTTATATCGAAAACCTTTAAATATTTTAGCACTCTTCAAAAACTTGTTAAACTAATATTACACAGTTCCTTGTCTTTTATTTATTGTACCACAGCACTAACTGTTACATGTTCTTTGGTTTTATACATATCATATATAATATTTTTAATTTAGTCAAGTCAAGTTTAATTGACTGGTGCAAATCTAAAGTTTTTGGATGTCGACGATTTCTCTTGCTTACTTTATATATTTCATCCTCACTCATGTTAGTAATTCTTCGGAATGTCCTCGCTGAGATACCGCAAGCATCGCATGTGCGTTTCTGAACTGCTATAACAGGTGCCAATGGATCCATATTATCTTTTTTAATTAAAATAACTTTAGACTTTTAGAACTAAACGTCGTTCTGCTGGACATAACACTCTACGTTTAGACTGTATTTTATTTTCTTCCATATGACCCAATTTGCTTTAAAGTACCGCTTCACTACACTACCATAAAAAATAGGTACTTATATACAACTACGACACCCTAAAAAGGACGAGGGTTGTACAACAGACGAAACAATTGAACACAATTTATTTAACAGCCAATGCTAAACAAGTATAAACACTGCATTAATTGTGATTGCAAAAACACCAATACAACCCACGGCCATCAATTAATTTTTAACGATAAACCGAAGAGAAATATGATGACGTTTGAATTTGATCTACTTTCTCCATGACACTGTCGTTAACAGAAAGATATTTTTAAACAAAATGAATCATTTTTCAATGATTGTGTGGATTTAAGAAATACACTACTAAAACAAATTTTTAAAGTGTGTATAACGGAGATTATAATTATTATGACACACTGTATTTACTCCTTATTTTTCAAATAATATGTTCTTGTAAAGACATAACTTTGATTATTGGGTAAACCTACATTATACGATACGTCAGAAGAAATTAAAAAAAAATTAACATGTACTAAATTCACTGTTTAAATAAATATTCGGTACTCGTACTATAACTTGTTGAGTAGTGCCGATTGAAACAACAGAGCAGTAAAATGTTATTCATAAAGGTAGTGTAAAATATGCTGCCGGTTATCTGGTCCGCTAGTAATAAAGTTACCGGCATTTAATTGCAAAGCAGTCTTCTTAGGTGAAATATCACATAATTTGCATATAAAAGGAGCATGATATGTTAGGAAACTGCAAACCAAATTCTCTACAGTTGTTGATTTTGTAATAAAATCATTAGACTACTTACAATATTAAAACTATCTTGCGAAAGACCTTTTAGATGTTTAAGGGTATATTTCCAGTTCTTTGGCAAATAATATGCTAAATCAAATTTTTGGCTAACTACACCGGAAACTAAACAAATAAATATTGCTTTAAAAAGATGCATCGTAGCAAAAGTAAAACTGATCACTATAATTATTAGATTTATGATTAAACAGCTGATTATTTACTATTTGTATTTGCAAGTTATATCTAAGATAATAACGATATATAAACTATTTAATAACACTTAATATCCACTTTAAATAAACAATCAATCTTATATAGTACCTTTTACAATGTTTTACAAGAAGGCATAATATTTAGAAAATATAGATTTTAGAGTATTTTTCATGTTCATGCTAAACTTTTTACTCGTTATATCAGTAGATACCAACTTTTTAAAATGTTATGTCATTTTTGATATTCTTACCTACCATCAGCGTTTTTATTAATAATTTTAGTTCGCTCAAAAGTCCTCTGGTGGATCTTGTGGTTAGCCCCATTTGTGCTGTTACAATGTAATATGTGGCCAAATCTCGCCGTATGATAAATAGGTTGTCATGTGCCCCTCTGGTGATTTGCCGTTAAACATGGTGTAGACGTACGTATTATGTTCAATCAACAAATCTACATTTAATGACAAAACTTTATTCCTATCTTTATCCTAAATTTTTAATAATGTTTCTTGTGTCCTCTCCTGCATTGAAAAAATAATATATTCCTGGACATAGTTGCAGAAGCCCTATCTCAAATTTAGTAGCGTAGCCCTCCTCTTTTCTCAAGGTCTCTTAGAACCTTTTGAATTTGGCTGCTGATTGGTAAAGTATCTCTATATTCATAAAAACTGAGATTTTTATGTATTTAGCGTATGGATAATTACAATACGATAAAAGTAGTATTTAGATAATAATTATGTTCAAATTGGAATTGTAACCTAAGTTAAATATTAAATATTAATGTCCAAATTGCACAGCCATTCAATTGCACCAGGAGAACACTCTGCAAAATCTTGAAGGTCTCCGCTGTATCTGCGGATTGGGCAATCCGCCATGATGTGTTGGATGGTCTGTCTCGGGGATCCACAATCACATTGTGGGCTTTCTGCATGACCCGGTATAGAGGTATAGAGAATCGGCACATTTCGGTATAGAGAATCGGCACATTTGCCATGACCCGTGCGTATGCGATTTAATTTTGTCCATATAGGGCGTGGCAGGTTTGATCCAGTGAAGCCGATCGACGTACTTGTTATTTTGATGACGTCTGGCTCTGTTGTTGGCATCCATCTTTTCGTCAACTGCTCTTGCTTATTGTAGCTATCACCCATTCCCTGAACGGATTGGACAGGGGTCGTCTGGACTTCAGTCTTTGTTGGTCTCGTGCGGCGTGCGGAATATACTGGTGAATTGGCAGACGATTATTTGCCATGATTTTCTGATATTCTCTGACAAGTGCTGCCGTTCGTCGAACATCTGGAGGTGCTATATTGCTCAGAATTGGAAGCCATCTTAGTGGAGTTGATTTAATAGTACCAGATATTACTCTCATAGTGTAATTTAGTTAAACATCAATCTTGTTGGCATGAGCGCTATTTAGCCATACCGGTACGCAGTATTCAGCGACAGAGTACACCAGGGCCAGTGAGGAGGTTCCAAGTGTATCCGCAGTGGCACCCCATGTCGTTCCAGCAAGCTTTGTTATTATGTTGTTACGGGTTCTCACTTTGGCAGCTACATTCGTAAGATGGGTTTTGAACGTCAGTGATCTGTCGAGCGTTACACCCAGGTATTTAGGGTTGTTATTATGTTTCAAAGTCTCGCCATTGAAGGTGATGCTAAGGGTGTCATTCAAAAGCTGATTTGTGAGATGGAAGAGGCTTGTCTCAGTTTTGTTTGTATTAGGGCGAAGTCGCCATTGTTTAAAGTAGTCGCAGAGAACCCTTAAGTCTTCGGTAAGCGCCCTTTCTCCAACATCTTTGGCTTGGTTTTGAAACGCGATAGCCAGGTCATCTGCGTAAGCAAATTTTTTTTATTTTGTCTCTGGAAGATCGGCTGTGTAAATGTTAAATAATAGTTGAGCAAGCACTGAACTCTGTGGGAGGCCATTATTTAGCTTTCTGACATTGCTCGTTGTATCGTTTATATATACTTAAAACAGTCTGTTGGTTAGGAGGTTATTGATTAGTTGGCAGGTTTTCAGGCATGGTATGACCTTCATTAGCTTGTAGATCAGGCCTTCTCTCCACACAGTGTCATATGCAGCCGTCAGATCTATAAACGTTACGGCTGTTTTTTGTTTTAAAACTGAGATCAAACAATGGAACACACGAAGAGTTAATATAATATAAGATAATAACATATCGATATATAACAAATAACTGGAATAACGATCAATCTACACAACCAATAGTATTTGTTATAATGACAAATCAATTTACTACATTGATGATTTTTAAGATCCTTGCAATGACAGCACGCAGTTGGCGAATTGGCCCATTAGCAAAATATTATTTAAAAACTTACACAATTGCCAATTCAATATTACCAATGTTTGAGAAAGTATTTGGTATGTATCAACATATTTTGATTTTAATGATCCTCATCACCATACAACCTCTTCTGTCCACTGCTGGACACAGGTCTCTCTCATTTTTCACCACTCTTCATGGTTCTGTGCGTCTTATTGCCATTTCTTGGATATTCGTTTAATGTCGTTCATCCCTCGTGTTGAGTCTTTTAGCCTTGCTATGTGACCTGCCCAATTCCATTTGTGCTTGGCTATATGTTCGACGACATCAGTGATACCTGTAATTTACCTTAAGTCTTGGTTCCTTATTTTGTCTTTTTTTTGTCACGCTAAAATCGATCATTCCATGCGCCCTTGTGCGAGTCGCATTTTTAGTGCTGTTGTTTTTGTCAGAGTGAGTAGCGGGTAACGGGTAGGAACTCCTTTCGAGTCCCTAGGATTCTATTGGATAGTCCTATCAAGGAAAGTAAATTAATCCATACCCTCCACAGATTCCAGGAGCTTCTTGGAATTAAAAACTCCCCAACCGGCCTTGTCAGCGTGGTGTTTTAAGGCAAATACTTCTCAACAAAATGTCAGATTTGATTTTAATATCTTTTATTATTTCATTAAAAATATGACATTATTTAGTTATATATCTTTTAATTATTTATAATATAATATGACTTTAGTTATATATTTTTAATAATTACTTATTTTCATTATATATCTGCGTTAATTTTTAAATTATCACGCTCAAATTGGCTAATTTACTATTTGTCAAGTTCTGATAATTCACTTGTCTGAAACTCAACATGTTTTCGGAGAACTATCTATTTTATCTCAAAACACTTCAGATAACGTTATTAAAAACTAGAACGTGACCCAATTCTAATGCATCGGGATTCTAGAACGTTTGATGTTCTATTAAAATGCTTTTGTTGAATTACACTAAAAAGATTCTATGCAGATTTATTGCGATATTATGAATGAATATGCAAAATACAAAGTAAAACGTTTTAAGACACACAAAACGGTACACTACAAATAAGCTAAGCCGGATACATACATGCCAGTAAATTGGGAAAGTACCTGGCATGCCAGTTGTTGGGATTAGCCAATAACTGGCAAGCACAAAACACATTTGCTATTATAGTAATTGGCATAGCAGTAGCTCGCTTGCTTATACTGGCAAGGCGAACAAACAAGGTAGATTTTACCACATGCCAGTGCTAGAAAACAATCGGGTGGTTTTTCTCTGAAATTAAAGTGCTTGTTTTGTAGTTAAAAGTTTTTGAGTTTTCAACAAAAAATGGGAATCCATGGAAGGTATTCGGAATGAATTCAACAAGTACTGCTGATGACCACAGATATTGTTAACAAATTAAATAATGAATTCGAAATAGAACTCAAAAAAGATAAAAATTTGGGTAAGAATCTGGATTAGGAGACGAGAAAATTTTGAAGCAATTTTTTATTTTGGCCTTTATATTTTTCATAGTAATAATGCCCATTTGCTCTTGATTTTTTGTGTAAGCATTCTGTCTGGCTATTTTATTTTTATATAGAGATGATTTCGAATTCAAAACACACTCCAATTCTCTATATATAGCAATAAATTTGATGGTTTCTTCATCACCCCATCGGAATATTTTAAAATTTACAAGCTTAAAAATAAAACAATAAATTTTTGTCACCAACACAACAAATCTGAAAATTTTTTTTTGCAAATTGCAAAAACAACGGTTTTTGCAATCACAATCAATGCAATGTTTATGCTTATTTAGCATTGGCTGTTAAATAATTTGTGTTCGATTGTTTCGTCTGCTGTACAAGCCTCGTCCTTTTTAGGGTATAGTCGTTGTATATAAGTATCTATTTTTTATAGTAGTGTAGTGAAGCGATAATTTAAAGCAAAATGAGAATGAATTGTGTTTCGAAACTATTTTACGGATTTATTATCAGATGTCGCTAGAAATCAAATATTTGCTGTCTTTTTCATTTTATTCGGATCTACTCTGTATGAGTTCAAGAAACCAATTCGCTAAGGATTTCTGCTTAGTTGAAAAGACATGTCCTGGAATGCAAATTTTAGATTCCCTATGTCTCTTTTAACACCTTTATTAATGTCTGTTTGGTTTTGCAATTTTTAGAAAGCACAGATTAAAGCAGAAATCGGAATTGTGTTTCGAAACTATTTTTATGGATTTATTATCAGATGTCGCTATTGCGTCCATATCGAAGTCATTTTAGTGTTGCTTCTTAAAAGAAAAAAATATTGATCTTTCACGTTGAGAACACCTATGAATAACTGTTCTAAGGTGACCTATTTGGTCGAAATACGTATCAACAGATACATAGGCACTATTTGCGTGAAATCAAATATTTGCTGTCTTTTTCATTTTATTCGGATCTACTCTGTATGAGTACAAGAAACCAATTCGCTAAGGATTTCTGCTTAGTTGAAAAGACATGTCGTGGAATGCAAATTTTAGATTCCCCATCTCTCTTTTAACACCTTGATCAACGTCTGTTTTGCTTTGCAATTTTTAGAAAGCGCAGATTAAAGCAGGAATCTGAATTGTGTTTCGAAACTATTTTTACTTATTTATTATCAGATGTCGCTATTGCGTCCATATCGAAGCCATTTTAGTGTTTCTTCTTAAAAGACAGAAAATATTGATCTTTCACGTTGAGAACACCTATGAATAACTGTTCTGATGAGACCTA